CATTTATTTAACAAAAGTTCAAGAATAATACCACAAGTTGCAAAAAAAATCAAGATAAATAGTGGCTTTCTTTTAGATTTATACAAGAAGCAAATGTAAAAGCTATTTTACAACAGTTATCATAAGTTTATAGTCTATCCAAATCAAACTGAGATTATTAAATGAGAATAGAAGGCAAGGGTATTTTTAACCATGACTGACGTACTAAGTAATAACACTGTATGTTTAAAACAATTGTTACCGCCATTCTTTTCGCCGGGACTGTAACTCTGCGCTTTTTCAACCAATGTTATGAAATTTAAGCTGAAACAATCTTACTTTCTGACTTTCAATACATTTTTGTTTTATTAAAAGACTTGAAACTTTTTATTTTTGAATTATGGATTTTAAAAAAAATCAGTACATTGCTGTCAACTATTATATCTGACGATGCGATGGTGATAATCAGACTCTCATCGCACATCACTAATCACGTGAGATCATCTACATAAACCTGTTGAGATTTTAATTTCACCACATTCAACGATGGTTAACGTTGGTATTATCGGTGTAGGATTAGTTGGATCCGAACTAATCAATCAACTGTCGGCTCAAATCTCTCGTCGTAGTCTACCGTTCCCGTTAAAAATAGTTGCTTTGGCCAATTCCAAAGTACAACTACTAAGCAACACGAACTACGATCCAATCGATCTCGATGGATGGAAGATACGTCTAATGTCTCATGGGATATCGACTGATTTGAGCGTCTTTACTAAGTACCTGGCAAAAAGTCCCGATGTAGCCGTAGTTGTCGATAATACATCGAATCAAGATGTAGTAGATTTTTATCCAGAGTTTATTAAAGCTGGCCTACATATTGTTACCCCGAATAAGAAAGCATTCTCGGGAGAATTGGGCTTTTATAAAAAGATCGTGGATTTAGCAAGAGAAAAAAATGTCTTGATTTATCATGAGTCAACTGTGGGTGCTGGATTGCCTGTAATCAATACATTGAAAGACTTAGTGGGTACTGGAGACGAAATTGTAAAAATTGAGGGGATATTTTCGGGGACTTTGAGCTATTTGTTTAATAGCTTCTCACCAACCGAAGAAACTGTCGGAGATGCGAAGACTTTTTCTGACATTGTTAGAATTGCCAAGGACAACGGATATACTGTAAATATATGATTGACTGAATCAGTTCTACAAGATCTGCTCTTGACGTAATTATTTTTTATTCAATAGACGACTGATAAATATCGCTTGTTCAATATATTATAGGAACCAGATCCAAGAGACGATCTAAACGGTATAGATGTTGCCCGGAAGGTATTTCCTCTTTTTCATACTTCACGTACTTTTCCGTCTTGCCTTCATTACCACATCGCGCTTTTGTCAATAGGTTGTAATTCTTGGTCGGCTTGCGGGAATTGATTTATCTCTGGACACACTTCCGGTTGAGAACATGGTCCCAGAGCCACTCAGGGCGGTCGCATCTGCAGATGAGTTTTTGACGAAATTGCCGGATTGTGATGATCATTTTGATCAATTGAAAAAAGCAGCAAAAAATAATAACAAAGTACTGAGATATGTCGGCGTCGTTGACCCTGTTAATGGAAAAAGCTCTGTCAGTTTGCTAAGGTGAAGAGAGAAGGGCGTGATTGAAGAGGTTTATTGTGAAGATGACCTGATTTTAGCGATCGATAAACTCATTGATGACATGATGATAGTGATAAGACGATTAATAATTGAATGACTAACCAATCCTTTCGGTTGTATCTTCTTCCTTAGCCTCTCTGCTAGTCATCCATTCGCTTCACTCAAAGGCAGCGACAACATCATTGCATTTACAACGAAGAGATTCCCCAATCCTCTTATAATTCAAGGTGCTGGTGCTGGTGCTGCCGTTACAGCGTTTGGCATATTCTCGGATTTGATAAAAATTGCAGAGCGCACATCGTCGGTTGGGCGGTGACTCGATAAGCAATCGCGGGGCGTTTTCTTGTATGTTGAGCATAAATGGGGTTCTGCATGTCAAAATTGTTATAGAAGACTTTTTTGACAAAATGTTGCTTACATACACGAAATGACTTCCTAGTCGAAACACTTGAAAGCGATTTTCTCGACTCTAGTTTTTCGTTCACGGCATAATAAGTAGAATTAGGAGACGGTGATGACAATATCAATATATCCTCAGCGAATTAATGAAACATAAAAACGCGACAATACATCAAATTTATACGAACACTCATCTACTAAAAGAATTCAGATAATTATAATGAAAATATGAAGGCTCTTGAACATCTTTTTGCTACTTGATGATATCATTGAAAAGACTCAAACAATAATTTACTGGTTTTTAGACAATACCAATCGACCAGTTGAAAGATTTTAAAAGAGTTTTTTTACTTGAGTATTTTCGAATGTCTGAGGGTAATGAAGTCTTGTCACTATTATTGTTAATACAACTATATTTAAATAATCGGTGTGGGATTTACATAGTCTTAAAAGGCACGTTATCTGCTTATTGTTAATAGTCTTGCATAAGAATCGTTAGAAGGGCAGTTTGTTCATTTGTAACGTTCTGCAATCTGAATCAGGATATTGTCTAAATACCACACCAGTAATCATGTGATAATATCGAGCTCATGAAAACGAACACCTGGGTCTAATGGTTATCCGAGGGTGTCGTTACAGTGACATAGCAACGCACCATTGATTTCATCGTCAGCATCACCAGCTTGGCAGATCTTCATGGCCAGTTTGGGTACGTTTGTACAGCGCCGTGCGCTTATTAAAATAATAAATAAATAAGCACGGTAGAATTGAGACATGTTAATTTGCATACTTAATCTTCTCGAGCTCAGCAGCGGTCCAGACCTCAACTCTATAGTAAATTATAGTCATGTTAAGAGAAAGTAGAGAAATGGCAACCAAAAATTCATGGTCGAGGAGTGGGATCTACTATTATAAAGCATTTAATAGGATTAATAAAAAGACGTTGTAAAGCAATTTGTGGTGAACGAATTAATTTTTAATTGTCGAGGTATCTTTAATAAATATTATACTTTTAATAGTTGCATTGATGTTGTTAAGTTATCACAAAATTATAGAGGGCAAGTTTTTTCTTCTCATATTTGTTTATTAAAGCAGCATGAACCGCTGACTCATGATTAGTGTCTGCATTTTTTAGACTCAAGCAAACCATTTAGTGGGCAACTATATCAAATATTACCAAGGAATGAATTATCTATCAATCGTGTATTTTAAAGTATAAGGCCCCACTCGTTTATTAAAGAGAATTGTAATAATAAAGGAATCAAAAGTATGCTTGAACACCCTGAATCTAGCAAAAAGCCAGCTCTTCTTATATATCTTTTCGAACTGTCACTACTGTCTATTATTGTACACTGGTGTGCCGGTGATACCATCGGAGCTATGCAGGAATGCAGGGACAGTCGACCCTCCCTATAGTCACGCTGTCGGGAACAATGCAACAAATGTGCTTATAAAGAGGTGATTATACAAGTTCAATAGCAATTGGTTCTCAAACATGGTGTGCTTATAAAGAGGTTTTTATATGATGTGCTTACAGAGCGGGGGACTATAAAGAGGGTCGACTGTATGTCTTCACAAGCAGAATCAAGCGTAAGTGTCTTATCGAGCCAAACCATGGATAGTCCTATTTAAATTGTAAGACTACAAATATATATAGATTTACAGATGCCTCGTCGAATATGGTATTAGCGGGCGTTTGCATGTTTGTTGTAATTAATTTTAATCTCCTAAACTAATGATATGAAGACTGCTCAAAAAGCACGAGCCAAGTCTGAAAAGGCTAACGTGTTTGCGAAAATGAAAAGTTGACAAATAAAAATATAATACAATTATAGCGTCCAACATTATTAAACCCCGAAAATGTGTTGTGATGTGATAATCAGTCTTGCTTCATTAAGGTGCCGCTAACTTACCATTTGCTGCGGAGTATTTCGGACTACTATCATGAGGTAAAGGCATGTGCGATAGCAGAAATATATTATTCGAGTACTGATACTGGCCGTACAACATCGTCAATCAAACCTGTTTTGCTTAAACTCGGCGCACGCACCGTCATCCTTGTGATTAAAATTCCCGTTTGCAGTGTGCTTGTGTACATACGAAGTTTCCATATAGTAATTCCGTCTAACCTTTTTTTTGAAAAGGTATTTGCGGTATTGTTTGGATGACAGATGATAATCATAATAATAAATGTCAGCATACGGTATAGATTGAAGAACGGCTGTAATATTTACCGATCTGTTTCTCACTCTGGTAACATGCTATTGTTATCACAAGTTCTATCGTGTGGGAAGCGTAATAGATAATAGTCGCCAGATATAATGGTGCTGACGACTACACTGGTATTGTGATATTATGTAATATGTTTATATTTGTATATTAATACGCACATATCATCTGTTGTGTTACCAATTTGGGTTTTATGTTTGAGCACATTTTCACTGTGTACATTGGACAAGGTTCAAAATAGGAATCCCCTACGCCATCGGTATTAAGGGTCTGCAGTTAGTATTACATCATATGTTAAACAAAGTGATATAAAGTACAAATATATGAGATATATGTGATGCGGTTTATGGGGTTTCTTATGGGCAATACTAATACTCACTATATCAATTAGACCATCATTAACGCATAACGCAACCGAATTATGATGGTATTGTCATGTCATTATCATTATTACCAACACTTATTTTATTCGTCTCTTGCTCTCATCATTGTTATGCCTGTACCTGTTGTGTTTGTAATTATTGACACACTGTAAACATCACACGATTACTTTAGTTGTCAACGCCGCAAATATGACGAATTACAGCACGCCTGCTATCACTAAAACGGATATGAATACAAATAATGTTATACAACATCATCAATATATTTTAATGTATATATATATCAATTGCCGCCATTCATTGTATATAAAGGCAGACAAAGGTAACAAACCCCGTCTTCAACTCCACAAAATGACAAATTCACGGCACATACTCTGCTGCATACCATTCGCATGGCTGTTTGTAGCCGCCATAGCAGCATACTGTCTATTCTCGTGGGATACCCCAAAAAGAGAACAACTTTCACTCCGTGGCAACTTTCTTCACATCACAGATATACATCCTGATCCATACTACAGAACAAATGCAACCGCCCGTTCATCATGTCATCGAATAGCCTTGCAAACTGCGAAAAAGCCAAAACACATGAAAAAAGGAACGGCTGGTCCATGGGGTGCACCTGGTACTATATGTGATTCACCTATGGAATTGGTAGATACTACGTTCGATTGGTTAAAGGAAAACTGGAGTGACGGGCTAGATTTCATTATATGGACAGGGGATAACGCAAGGTAAGGGTAAGCGATACATAATAAGGAGTGAAGCGAGAAAACATATGTGCCGAGTATATAATATTCATCCAACTTCATCGTCACAGGCATGATAACGACGACTCGGCTCCTCGTAAAGAAAAACAAATTATCGATCTTAATCGTCTAATAACAGATAAATTCATTCGAACCTTTGCCCCTAAAAAACATGGCAAGCCCGACTACTCCAAAATGACACCCATCATTCCCTGCATTGGCAACAATGACGTCTACCCAACAAACGTCATCTCGGCCGGACCAAATTTCATGCTCGACTCTTTGGCCGACCTGTGGGCTCCATTCATTCCCAAGGCGCAAATGCGATTTTTCCGACGCGGAGGTTACTTTGTCAAAGAAGTTATACCAAACAAACTAGTCGTGATATCATTAAACACATTATATTTCTTCAAGGCGAATTCCGTTGTGCATGGATGCAAAGCGGTTGGGGAACCGGGGAAAGATCATATGGTGTGGTTGGACAATGTGTTGAAAAGAACTAGGAAAAGAGGCATGAAAGCGTATTTGGTTGGACACATCGCCCCAAGAAGAAAGCACTATACTCCAACTTGTTATAAGCAGTATGTAAAAATAGCATACAAATACCACGATATAATATTGGGACATTTCTTTGGACATTCCAATATGGATCACTTTTTCTTTATTTCCCCCAAGAGAAAAAGAAGAACCATGGACCATGAAGATATGATTGAGAACGAAATAGAAGATGAGATTGAAGACGAGATGGCCGATGACGACGAGCATCCAACAAAAAATACAAGCCACGAACTCCTCGATTTCCCGTTCTCTGTTCCCGAGAATAATACGTCTGTCTCTGCTTTCACAGACAAGGTCTCCACAACAGTGTACAATCTCAACCACTACATTCATCGTCTATTTCGGCATTATGAAACCGTCCCCTCAGCTCGGCGAGTTCGAGATGGTGATTACGCCGTTATTCATATAAATCCTTCAATTATCCCAACATTTTTCCCGGCTTTGAGAATATTCCAATATAATACAACGAAGTTGAATACAAAGGAAGAAGAAACTGCAGAGAAAGTAATAGATTTTCATACAAATATGTATGATGAAGTCATAGAGGAAAATCAGGAGAATAAAGTTGAGGATGAATATGATGGTTCAAGCGACGCCGACAATTGGGATGACGAAGACGATGACGAAGACGAATTGTCCGACGTTACCCCTAACATCTCCGCCCAACCTTCTAACAATGCCACCCGCTCCCGCCCGCACGACCCACAATCACCAGTACATTCAAACACCTTCCTTTCTCTACTCGGATACGCTCAGTACTACATCAATCTAACAAAGGCTAACGAAAATCCCCGCGTGCGCCCACGGTATGAAATAGAATATACGACAAGACACGACTATAACATGGACGACTTGACTGTGCATAGTTGGATACAGCTGGCAAGAAAAGTTGCACGGAATGGAATGAAAAGTAAATTAGGGAGAAAAGTTCTTAACCATCTAATTGTTGGAACAAGGAGTGTGGTTAAGGAGAGGGCTGCTGAGGGAGAATTGTATCTCGAGGGGAATGCAGGTGTTAAGGGGCCCGGAGATTATTTGAGAGAAGATTTGTGGTTTTAAGCCACACGCTATGGATGCCCTTGCATTTGATAACATGTACTGTGTAATTATAATTCACTGTCAAAAAATCAACCATTTAGATGTAGAAAGCATTATGCATATAAAGTATTTAATTAGACATTTTTTATTATTGTATCAATAAATAATGCATTGATGAGATCGACACAAAGATTTGCGCATTTCAGCCTCATGCTATTGGAGACTCCCTACGCCCACCTCATGTTTTATGCGTGTTTCCGCATGTGGCATTTCGTTGCTCTATAGGAGATTATCGAATTGATTATCTAAATCTTTCTAATTTTAGCAGTTTTCCTTATTAGCGCGTAACAATTGTGGTAAGGGAAAAAGTAATAGTAATTTGAAACACTCAACTACAAAGGATGCTATTACTTTGAAGATGTCCATTATTCCGCGTTCTAAGGGTTATTTCCAATTCATATTAATATATCACTGCTCATATTCGGGTATTTAAAGGATAAAATCGGAATATTGGACCTTTCACGAAATCCAATTTCTTTCGAAATGGTTTCAATCTCAGAAGAGCCTTGATTCTCAGAAGGAGTGGGGGCAGTTCTTGTATGCAAACAAAAGGGGCATATTCCCTCATTAAGGAATGGGAGTGTGATATAACCAGAGTACGACCGTATTAGTTATCACATATCATTGGCATAATAAGCAACATTGTCTGATGATCGATTAAGCATTCGTGGCTAGATACCACGATTTTTGATTTGATTTGATTTTGCAAGCTGTCGTTCACAAGTCGGATTTTACCATCTACAGTAGCAAGCAGTGATTCCAAATTTCGCTATCTGACATTCCTACGTCTTCTAAAAGATGATCACCATGTCTACCATTCTATTTTGTTTCATCTCTATTGTACATATTACTCTGCCCATTACCAGTATTCCCCATTGGTACCCAAAGAATATGATCCTTATCCACCTCACGCGCCATTTCTCTAAATCCTTTTTCGCTCATTTTCCTTAGAATTTTCTGGAAATGATCTAGATCAGGCTCCTCGCCTTGAGTTTCTTTCAATGCTCCCCATGCCTTGAGTTGTTTGACTGCTGCCCTTTTCATTTCGTTTTTAATTAGCGTAGGTATCATTTCACGTCGTGATATATAATATCTCAACCTCCAATGATCACTTTTACGCAAGTTAACCGGATTAAACGTTGGCATATGGTTGATTATCGAGTAGCATCCAACATGATATTTCGCTATAGTGTCGGGACCAGGCGGTAGAGGGGTTGCTTGCTCGGCTTGGGGATCGTCTTCGCAAACTTCAATGTAGACGCTCATCAGCGGTGCCTTACGATTGTTTTCAAATGTCATGCGGAGTGTCTAACGTGCGAATTTAAATACAAGAGAGGTAAGACGACGAAATTGAGCATAATATTTTGGATGAAAACAACATATTATAGACGTATACCTTGTTAGGAAACTTATTTGTAGCCGTGTCGAATATTTCATTAAGTAGCTTCAAAGAAATGAGAAAAGATTGTTCTCCCATGGATGAATTCCCAAATAAACATCTATCCATTTCCTCCAATGGTATATATTGAAATCCAAATGTTCTTGCCGTATTATGGAACGCAACAAAAACTCCATCCATCTGGCCTATTCTCACTTGAAGGCTGAATCAAATATCTTTGAGTTATCCCGCTTGTCAAATTGACAAAATTCTATTGTTAATATCCAAACCTATATTTCAAGAAAGCTGAACGCATCATGTCATAATATTCTCGTTCGAAAGACTCGTACAATCCATGGGAAGTCTTTATTTGATAGCCTGCGTTTAACTGAGATGAAGTGAGTGATAATGGCGCAGTGATTCGGAATTGGAGAGGTTCATATAAAGCCGTTACCTGGTAGTTTCCAAAGTCCATGCGGACAGCTATTGCTGCACGTGTCTTGATATCAAACGTCTTATTTGGTAATCTCGGGTCATGACAATCGATCTGCGCTCTTAAAAGAAGATCGTTTGCCTAACGTCGGATAATTGAATCAAGTCAATATAAGATTATTAAAAGTACTCACTCAAAATGACTCTGAAATTATCATATCGTTTAATCTTTCCTTTATAAAGTTATATGCCTGTGGTGGTGGCTCTGACAAGCGTGGTAAAGACGCGGAATTCACTTTTCGATATTGATTGAACACCCCAGGTGGAACTGTATAGAAAAATTCTAGCTCCCTACCCTTTGAAGATCATAAATTTTAGTAACAACTTTTGATACAGCCGGCTGTTTATTGATAATAGAATACTTACAAAATCTTTTAAAATATTCTCAACGTCCAGGCTTTTGTCAACTTCAACAGAGTAAATGCCATCCCGATGTCGTAGAAATATAGTTGTCGGTGATTTGGCTGTTGATGTGTAGGAAACAGACTACATCGCGACAAGTATAAGATCTCAATGTTAATCTCATTATTTAGAATAACCATCAATGATGCATACAAGCATCGCATAGTCGTTAATGTAATGCTTTCCTAGTCACCTCTTTTGCAAATGCTGAAGACAACGTCGAAATATTAACCGGCTTCCACGATGATATCAAGAAATATACATGTGACAACACCCCAGTCATCGATGAGGTTGATCCACAATATTTTGAACTGGTCTTCTTTGCCAAGTCTTGTAGATTCTTATCTTTTGACGGGAGAATATATGGGATGCCAAGAGCATCAAAATCAAATTCTCGTGGGGGGCAGATATCCCTTAGAAACGGATCAAAGTTGAAGACACGTGATCTTGGATCTTGGAGATAGTGTACACCTGGACTAAAGGATCAAGAATGAGTAAATGCGATTACAAAAGGACTAAAGAAGCTTTTAACTCACTTGAATAGTACTCGATCTAATCCATGGGCAAGCGTAGAAATAGGAACTTGCTCGGGTGCTGGTATGTTCTGTATTTGTATATCCTTTGCTATTATTGTATTAAATGCATGTCTTTTTGCTTCTATCACATGGGCCATCCGCCCATTCATAATCTTATCTGTTAAACGACCTGTACGCATCTTGAACCGATAGACCGTCTTTAAATCGATTTGATCCAAGAACGAATTGAGTGATTGATTTTAATTTTTTTTGTTTATTCGTTATCACGTGTCACCCATGCATTTGTTGATCTCTGCTCAAAATATTGTGGATTGACATAAGCCACCCGTACATGGGAGTGCTTGCTTAGTTTATTCACGGCAATTCATAATTGATAAGAGAAAATAAGCAGGACAGAAGGTTATAAGATCAATTGTAACAATAGTGAGGAAAATACGGAGATTGAAATAAGAATAAGGTCACTTTTGATTGCCTTACGGGCGAATAATAGAATGCAAGGTGCGACTTTGCTGAATGTCAGCTCGAAAAAATGGCGGCTTGATTAAGGGGCAGTGGATACTTTTATTGTTTCACGTTTAAAAAAGTTTACTAATGGTGAGGATAAAGGAGGAAGACAATCTCAAAAGGGTTACTATCTACACCTCTACGAATTTCCAAATCCCTCCAGGTTCGATCCGAAATTTTGTTCGCATTAACAATCACATGACATGTACCCAATTGAATTCAGTTTATTTTTATCACTTGTCCACGACACATTAATGTTGCAGATTGAACAGCGCTTAAGTTTCTTTGAATCTCCGGTTTAAGAAATCTGTTCTTAATTCATCCCATGCATCTTTGGGGATTCTTCTGTGCGATTATATTTTTAACAGCATATTCTGCTAATTTACCTGTAATGCCATTCTGGACAAATCCATATATCGCCGTTTTTCGCGCAAATCTACGAATGGTTGCCAAATTAACAGAATCGAGAGCACGAAGAACAGTTTCTTGTAATCCACTCCATGTGTAATTACAATTATTTCGTTTGGCTGCTTCCCAATAGCGTTCAAGTCGCGGTGAAATTTGTCATTTCTGGTTGAAGAGATATAATAATACTTCTTTTAGTCGAGTGATCTGCACCTGCGCCAGGCATGTCTACGGGATCAGCGTCGAGTCACAGGACGCAACGTCACCGGAAAATTTTTTCAAAACGCGCGCAACGCGAACACGGTTCCGGAAAGAATTCCTTTGCTCTATAATTTCAGGCCAGCCATCCAAACCATTTATCTTATTGTAGTAAAATTTTAAACCGGACCTCATTCGGAATAGGCTGCATCACATCTAGCAAAACTCTTTCTAAACGCGTGATACTTGGCTTTGTGAGCTTGCCTGCTTGGTTTTCGAATTTTGTTTCTCTTTCCTAAGATAATTGCTGCCCTAATAGGAAGTTTGTCTTAGTTTCTGCTTAGATCCTGCATACGGTTTACCCTTGGTTTGCTGTTCACTTTACATGGGAGTTGCAGCAAACATGTGGTAAAATGTAACCTCAGATTTATGAATTTTTATTTTTAAATGAAAGATTCTTGCTTATGTCATCAATATACAGTGCGCGAAAAAAGTTTTTGGAATGAAATACGTGTCAAGTAAACACGATTTCCTTCCGAGATACGCGTCTAAT